GCGGAATGCTTACGAGAATCAAAGGAAAGGCAGTGATAAAAGGATGTGTACTTGGCAAAAAAAGGAAGAACGGAATGGAATGGAATGGAAGTGATGGAAAATAAAAATATGTGCAGAAACATCTATTTCTGTCTAAATATATGTAGGATCTTAAAATATTTGAAGGACTGGTAAGAGCTAGGAAAACGATTACTACTGGTTGGAAGGTAATGGTTGCTGGGCTTGGAGAATGAATGCAAGATTAAGTGAGGTGGGGACAAATTCTTGAGGGACACAGAATGGTTTAAAAAAAATATTTTAGGAGGAAAAACAGGGTTATGCATGTGCTGAACCTTCCCACTGAAATCAATGGGATCACAAACCTTAACTTTGTCTGGACTGTGCCTTAGTTATATGTAATCATGATTTCTCAGTTAAGTCAATATTTATTATACCATGAAGACATTTTATGACCAGAGGTATGTAACTATTCCATTTAAAACATATAAATTAAGATTCCATGCTAGAATTTGTTTTGAGTTAATGCTCCAGGAAATTCTAATAATTGCATAGCTTTTTGCTTCTGTCATTTTTTAGTTATAAAATGACATAGTGTTACACCTCTTCTGTTTACTTCTGTCAAGCATGTACACATTTATTTATTTGGGTTGTTTTTTAAATCTACCCTATTACTGAAAATTCAGGGTGGATAATATTAAGAAACATTTTATCCATGTATTTAATAAATATTTATTACATATTTATAAGGGTGAAATGAAATTATTGCTATTTTAACCAGTATCAAAAGCAAATATGTTGTTGGTCCTTCTTAGTTTCTAAACACCTTTAAAGCATTGTGTAAGAAGAGACTAAATAAGACTGCTTTGGACACCTCAGTATTTATAATTCCTAATGATAACTAAAACCTTGTTGTGGGGTCACCATTTATCAAGTGGGTTATTATTACTTGATTTCCAAGAACTTTGATTTTATTATTTGGTACAAATTGGGCATTGAAACAATACTATGCAGTCCTGAGATCACTATTTTGCAACCAAATGTCACATTCCATGGACATAGCTCTAGCAGTATTTATCCAGAAGTCTGTTCAACAGCCCCCTAAGACTTTGATCAAAGAGTGGCTGTTAGACTTGCCCTTCTTTTCTCTCTCCCAGTCAACTCTGTTTGTCAGCAGTGTGGTTTGCACTGTCTCCACTCCAAGTTGACTTCTGATTACGTCTAGATTTATAATAAAATCAGAAATTATGCCTGAAAGAAGAGTTCAACATCAGATTTGGTCTGAAACCATTTTGAGAGCTCAAATATTTTTTATAAAATTCCTCTCTCAGAGACTGTAACCATCATTGGCACCAATCAACAGACTTTAGAAGCTCAGGATACTCACCATCAACCGCCATGTTAGCCCCGTTTTTAAAATTTATTTATGTTTTCTTGGCAGATGGACACATTTACAAGCAAAGCACTGGGCTGCATCCATTCACAGCTTTTAATGTGGAAGAATATTCATGGGACTATATGGAATCCAGGTGCACTGAAAATAAATACAATTCCAGATTTTAATGCTTTGATTTGCAACACGCAAACTTCTTTTTATAGTGCTTTAATTTTTTAAAATGAAAAATTAAAATGGAATATTTATTTTCAGCTTCAAAATACTCTTTTGAGTCCCCTTATAAAAACCAGACCAAAATTTTCAACTACACTCTCACTTTGACATCACTGCATCATCATTGTATACACTGCCTGCAAGCTGCAGGACAAAAGAACGTCCCCATTAGTTTCCCACCCCAAAACAGTTTCCCATTCTGCCATACTACACTTTTCTTTTCCCCAACTTGAAAAACTACTTACATTCTCCCACCCTTTGCTTCACCAGCAGAAATGCTAAAAGGCTGAGCAGTTTCCTTGCCCTGACTTACCATTTGTTGACATGTCCTCACAGCAGAGTCTCCATCTTGTTGCCACTCCCTGCATCAATGTTGAACCAGCAGGAAAGTATATTTTCCACAAGAAATGGAAGACATTCTACCTTGCACACAGGAGGAAGGTGGAGGTAATGTGGTCTTTGGGGAGGGCAGGCCAGGAGAAGGGTGTGACTTGCTTGGCTCCAGTTGGTCCAGCAGGCTTGCTGTGGGATCATCCCTTTCTGGTCATTGGCCTCTGCAGCTATAACTTGTTCTTTTGACTGTGAAAGAGTCTGGAAACCTGTTTCTCCAGCCACTTCTTTTTTTTTTTTGCACTTAGATTAACCAGTTGACCTAAAAAGTGGGTGCTATCATGAGCAGACAACCTGAATATCATCTGCTTCATGCTGTGCAGCACAGAAGAATGGGAAGGAGACGGTAAAATTAACTAGGTTTCCTCATTTATGATAGCTAAGTTTCTCAGGGAGGCCACAGGCAACTGAAGGCTTCATCTCTGCCTCTGTCATACTATTGACAGCCAAACACAAGAATCTCACAAAGGTTATTAAATAGGAAAGGAATTAGCTTACATAAATCTTAGGATCCAATTTATCTCTGAGCTTGCTAGGCTGGAGCTGTCTTCATTCTCTTTATACTATAACAACTATTTGATGAACAACAGCCAGTGCTCCATTTCCCAGATAATAGAAGAATGTACAGATGTTCTGAACTTGCACTATTTTCCAGTTAACCGTCCTATTTCCAGGACTTGAAAAGGTTAACAGCTTCCATTCTCCCTGCCCCAACAACTGGGAAGCCAGGCTGGGGAACTTGTTCCACCTGCTGGGGAGACAGTGGAGGTCCTGGGTACTGAAGTTGGAGAGGCAAAGCACCCTTTCTGTCCAAAGCAGCTCCAAAAAGTGGAATATGCAGGGAATCTTCTCTGGTCAGAGATGCAGGGCACTCCATGCTGAGAAGTGCCTCTTCAACATGCAGCACAAAATCTAGTCAACAGCTGTTTGACTTCTCAACGGCTTTCAATACCATCAACTGTGGTATCCTTTCAGGTCAACTTAGAGAGTTGGGAGCGGGTGGCAGAGTTTTACACTGGTTCTCTTCCTCCGAGGTCAATCCGAATCAGTGTTGATTGGGAATAAGAGGTCTGGCCCATGGCCCCTTCATTGTGGGGTGCTGCAGGGTGTGGTACTCTCCCCACTCCTTTTTAACATCTACATGAAACCACTGGGAGAGATCATCCACCACCATGGGATGAGGTATCATCAATATGTAGATGATACCTAGTTATACATCTCCATCCCAGGTGACACGAGTGATGCTGTGACCACCCTTTATGGTGCCTGGAGGCTGTGGGGGTCTGGATGGCGTGCAACAGGCTTCAGCTGAACCCTGGTAAGATGGAGTGGCTATGGATTGGAGGCCCCTCTGTATCCAAAGATTTACCATCTTTGGTTTTGGACAGGGTTGCACTGCTCCAGATGGACCCAGTGTGTAATCTGGGGGTCCTCTTGGACTCACAACTCCTGCTTGAGGAGCAGGAGGTGGCAGTGGTGGCCAGGAGGGCCTTTGCCCAACTTCGTGTGGTGCGCCAGTTATGCCCTGTCCTAGATGAGGAGGCTCTCCAGTCACTCACGCTCTGGTCATCTCTCAGTTAGACTATTCCGATGTGGTCTACATGGGGCTACCCTTGAAAAGCATCTGGAAGCTACAGCTGGTTCAACATGCAGCCATGCAGACAATTTTGGGTGCCCCAAGAATGGCACATATAACACCTTATGGGAACTGCATTGGGTCCCAGTTTGCTTCTGGGTCCAATTCAAGGTGTTGCTTATTACCTTTAAAGTCCTACATGGCATGCATCCAGATTACCTGAGGGACTGTCTCACCCTCATCACATCAACCCACCCCACCCAGTCAAGCAGAGAGGGCATGTTATGGACGGGACAGTGTGAGAATGTTGGCTGGCAGAACCCAGGAGGAGAGCCTTCTCTGCCATTGCCCTGCCCTTTGGAATATTCTCCCCGCAGAAGTGCAGTGGGCTCCTACCCTCCCAGCTTTCCAGAAAGGATTAAAGATTAAAGCTTGCATGGGGCAACAAGAATCTTACCCAATCCTGGGGGTGGCTGGCCTCCTGATGACGTTCCCTGAGCTACTTGCCGGTTAACATCTATTATTGGATTATATTTATTTGCTATTTATTCAGGACCATTTTACATTGTACTTTTAATTGATTTTAACATCTCTGTAAACCGCCCAGAGTCATTTTTTAATGAGATGGGTGGTGATAAATTAGATAGCTAGATAGAGTGGGGCAAAAAAGTATTTAGTCAGCCACCAATTGTGCAAGTTCTCCCACTTAAAAAGATCTTGTATGTCTTCCATTTTCTAATTATTGCTCCCACAGTTGATGTCTTGTATGTCTTCCATTTTCTAATTATTGCTCCCACAGTTGATGTCTTGTATGTCTTCCATTTTCTAATTATTGCTCCCACAGTTGATGTCTTGTATGTCTTCCATTTTCTAATTATTGCTCCCACAGTTGATGTCTTGTATGTCTTCCATTTTCTAATTATTGCTCCCACAGTTGATGTCTTGTATGTCTTCCATTTTCTAATTATTGCTCCCACAGTTGATGTCTTGTATGTCTTCCATTTTCTAATTATTGCTCCCACAGTTGATGTCTTGTATGTCTTCCATTTTCTAATTATTGCTCCCACAGTTGATGTCTTGTATGTCTTCCATTTTCTAATTATTGCTCCCACAGTTGATGTCTTGTATGTCTTCCATTTTCTAATTATTGCTCCCACAGTTGATGTCTTGTATGTCTTCCATTTTCTAATTATTGCTCCCACAGTTGATGTCTTGTATGTCTTCCATTTTCTAATTATTGCTCCCACAGTTGATGTTTGGAGGGAGTTGAAAGTCCGTGTTGCCCAGCGACAGCCCCAAAACATCACTGCTCTAGAGGAGATCTGCATGGAGGAATGGGCCAAAATACCAGCAAGTTTTGTCTCTCATAGTTGAGGTATACCTATGATGAAAATTACAGGCCTCTCTCATCTTTTTAAGTGGGAGAACCTGCACAATTGGTGGCTGACTAAATACTTTTTTGCCCCACTGTAGCTAGATAGATAAATGCAGCAGTAGAGCCCCAGAGAAGCACAGCTCTTTCAGACCCTACTAGCTGCTGAAGAATACTTACAGCAAATATACTTGCTTTGTAATGCTAGGACAAGTTCATACTTTAAGACCATATTTATAAAGGTAAGTCATAGTTAGAGCCATAGGCAGGGATTGAAGAATCAGCCACTTCCACCGCCATACCCTTTTTGTTCTTTGAATTCAGCCCAACATTAATGTTATATGATGTTTGGCTAGACTGACATTTATTAAACATAAAGGTCTGCTACCATCATATCAAGCTCTAAGGAGAATATGATATATGTAGGAAAAGCAACTTCAAATAGAAGACAGTTTTGTCTGGGGATTATATATTATATTATTATATCCTACTATATGAGGATAAAAAAAAATCAATGATCATCAAACTACTTATAAAACCATTCAGAATGACATATTTATCTGACCTGCTGCCATTGTTTCAAACTAATATCTAAAATGGCTTATTGAAGTCCTCAAGCACTAAGTAGTGCAAACAACTCTACAGTCCAATCAGCATCTTAGAGAAAAGAGCACAACCTCATGTGCTTTAAAAGTTTTCTATCTCTGAACCACAATGAAACTGAGAATTGGAAATAATGTTGGGGTTGTTTTTTATTGTTAAATACTTATATTACATTTTTGCATTTAGATTCAGAAAGAACATCTGTCATACAGATTAAATAATGGATTTAAAAGTGCTATCCAACCATATGATTAATAAAATAATTATGGTAATTTTGAATCTCGTAGCATTCTGATAAAATAGACACAAGAGATTCTAAATTAACTTGTCATCTGGGGAAATGTGTTATGTGTTATTAGTGCCTTCAGACTAATAACATTCCCATCATACATAACCTACCATTCCAAGCCTCAAGGTACCATCTAATAGAAAATAGCAATACCAATACCACTGATAAATATTGTAGAATGTAAAACAATACTGAGCTCCAGAGCTGTAGGAAGGGAAGTTTTCCATCTTCTTGCAAAGGCTATAACAACAGCAGATTTCAGCCTTACTGGGGGAATCGTTCTGTACTCATGGGGGAGTAATACTACATCTTAATTCAGAGGTGTTGTGTGCACAGCCTCTCCCATTAGAGGGAAATATCTGGTTTTAAAAATGTGGTTAAAAATGAAGAACGCAGGGGGAAATAATACTGCATTTAAAACCGGTTTTGGTCCAGTATAGCTTCTAGAAAACTGCACAACCGCCAGTCATCTAAAAATATAAGCAATTCCTCAGAAATTCAACCAGAACTGTCTTCTGGAGAGAAGATGAACAAGTTATTGAGTATCTAAAGATATTAGACCTAAACGTTTGACAATCCAAATCGGATGGGATGACATCTCCAACATGGGAAGACACATTGGGAAATGTTTAATTACTTAAGCACATCAGGTCTTTGAGCTGAAAGAAGGAATTGGCATTTTACTTCACTGAGGTCTTTCCAAAGTGTTTTCAACTATGGCTGTGGGGCACAGGATAACTGAAAGATAAAAACAAAAGACAGACCTTCACCACTTGTAGGGGTCCGCATCCTTATTCTGCTTTTCTCTGTGCTTAAGTTCTTTTTTAAAAAATGGTTGACAATGAACTAATATCCTGTAAACAGGTTTCAAAGTGTTTTGCTTGTATTGGTTGCATTATTGACAGGTCAGAAATATATTTCACAGTAATACGTTGTGAAAAACAAGGCTTCCATGATTTCTTAACATAGCTCGTGTTTAACAGCAAATAACAGAGGTCTTGTATCAGGACACATCTACAGTTGTCTTTTTTTCCTTCAAAAGAGGTGATAGATTTATGCCAGAATATAATTTGCTGAATTTTTGTCAAGGAATGGGTAGTTGCATCAAATCAGGAAGTTTAAAGCACTTTTGGGAAAAGGTTCTCTTCATCTTTATAAACTACTGCTGTGAATGGTAATGTATATTCCTCAACCTGTGTTTTACCACTTTAGCACAGCCAATAAAAGCAGAATGATATATTGATGACTCTGCCTAATCAATTGCTGCAAACGAAACAGATGCTGAATGCTAACAGAAATACTCAAAATGGGACCAAGAAACAAGAGAGAGGAAATCAGCAGCTCTGCAGTAGTACCACAAGGACAAAAAAGAAAAGAAAAAGTGTGGAGGGGGGGCTTTAAAAATCCTGGTTCAATGAGAAATGAGAACGCCCATCTACCATGGAATATCAATAAACTGAAAAGAAAAAAGGAGGGAAAATTGGTCTGCATGAACTAAAGTCGTGAATCTCCCTCCTGGTTTTCAGTGGTACCTGAGTCCGCAGAAAATCCACCTCTTCTGTAAGCATCTGCCGCTCCTTGTACAGCTCATTCTGTTTGTTGAGTAACTCCACAAGCTGCTGGGCAGAAGTCTGGCAATGCTTGTCAAGCTGGTGTAATCTGGATCAAATATATACAAAAGATTGCTTTGTTGCAAGAACAGAATTGCAGATTATAGATTCTATAGGTAGTAACCACGTAACGGGTGAATAAATGCGCAGGAGCTATTCTTTAGATGTCTTTCCCCCCCTCCCTCCGTTATGGAAACACTGCCAGACTACACTTACTATCTTGCTGAATTGAAGAAATGTTATCCAGTACCACACAATGCACTATGTATCACATTCCTACTCAGAGCTAGGAAATATTACAGTTTTACAATTAGCATTGTAAATTGTACATATATAGGTCCGGACTTAGATCTATGGAGATTCTGGTGTGTTTAATTAAGAGGTTCTCACTTCCAAACTCAACAGGTTTGTGTGTGTGTGTGTGTGTGTGTGTGTGTGTGTGTGTCTATCTATCTATCTATCTATCTATCTATCTATCTAT